AGAGAGAGAGAGAGAGAGAGAGAGAGAGAGAGAGAGAGAGAGAGAGAGAGAAAGAAAGAAAGAAAGAAAGAAAGAACGAAAGAAAGAAAGAGACAGAGACAGGGTTAGGATGATTTAAATCAGGTCGATTTAAATCAGTTGATTTTTTTAATTTAAATCAACTTGATTTTTAAAATAAAAATCAGTGATTAAAATAACTTCCAAAAAAATTGTATTCAGTTTTTACATATTCAAACATTCAGAATGCCTTTCCTTGGTTTTATAAAACAAATATAAGGTTTAGTAGACTAATATAACCATGCTTAAAAGTCTACTCCTCCCCCTGTCACTGTAAAATAATACAGTATTCAATTTACTTTTTTTCATAATTGAAATTAGCATTTTATTTTTATTTTTAGACCAACATAAGCGCGCACACACACCCACACAGACTAAGTAAATATCTAGATTTATTAACTGTTAACTTAATAATTTATTGAATGTCAGATCAAATCAATTGTGACTGAGGAGAATAAAAACATTGACAAATAAATCACAAACAATGTACATGTAACAAAAATAATAATTTAGAAGGAACAAAATGACAACTGAAGGAATTTTGAAAGTAAATCACTTTCATACAATATTAACAGTATTACAATAACCAACAATGTAGATCACAAGCGCAAACACACACACATCCAAACACAGACTAAGGAAATGTCTAGATTTATTAACTGTAAATTTAATAATGTATTGAATATCAGATCAAATCAATTGTTAACTGTAATAAAATACAAGTTTATCATGCATAATTACCCCCCTTCCTTTTTGATTGACATTTTCTCCATTTTTTGTGTGTAGCCATGAATAATTCACTGATATATAGAAGATTAAGGCTTTCTTTTGCAGTTGTTTAAATTACTCATTAAAATAAATAAAGACAATGCATTTTGCACTAAAAGAACATACTTTTAGAAGCTAAAAATTCGACACGGTGTCGTTATTTTAAATAATATATATATTAACAAACTTTTAAAATCTGATTTGAATTTTAAAAATCTGATTTAAATTTAAAAATCAATT